TAATATTAGAACATTAAATAATCTATTAAATACATATTCATCTTTAATAAAGTTTGACTATTAATTCAATTAGGTCTAACTAATTATATGATCCACAATAATTGAATAATATATAAAATATTATTACATTCTCCCACTTGGACCATATAAGTGTTGAAACCCAAAGAACTACTTTAAGCGCGCACCTTTCATCAAACTTATGATGGAATACATATAGCTATAAGTTTAAAATTAAAATAGAAATTAACCGAATCATGGCAGTCACAAGTCTTCGAGCGACATGATCCCTTCCATGTACCACAAATCATTTCTAATTCAACTTTACTTTAATATGGAACAAATCATTCGTACCATAACCATAAGCCATCCACTTTACTGTATATACTATAAAATCAAATATCCATAATGATGGTATTATATGTGAAGAATCAAACATCTTTAATTGAATTCAATAAATGTCAAAACCATTAATGTGAGCAATTTCATTCAGTATTAGCCAGTCCAACAAGGCCCCATTCGTTGTTCCCAATTTTCTTTATATGCCTTGCAAAGGCTATAGGGAATAACTCTTTAATGGATCCACTTTCATGAAATTAGTACTCAAAAATACTCAAATGACACTTTGTTTCTTCACTTCTACTTTTACGACCAAGTATTTAAATTTTATGTGATTCACACTCTTTGAATACTTGTCATTTCCTTGAAATATTATTGCTACAAAACTACGTTAATTTTTAGCGGCTTGGACAAGATGTCGACATTTCCAAGTCCTAAGATAAAGCATCGTAGCCTTAAATTTTGACTTGTGGCCTCAAAGCATACCACAAACTCAAACTTAATCGTGGAAGTCACGATGATGGACTTTGTTCCACTTTCCATAATCTTGCTCCTTTAGACATTATGAGCAAAAGTCTGAATCTGAGTATCCAATTATAACAAATAATTTGGATATTCTTTAAGTTAGCATGTGTTCTTTAATGCCTTGTAAATACTTTAAAATTTCATTTGCAGCATTTAAATAATCCTTCAGGGATTACTTTTATATTTGCTTAACTTACCAGCAAGAAATATGTTATCAAACCAAATACAGGTTCGTCTCGCTTAAGACTCCTAATCATTTATATCTAAGGAATTTTCTCCATCACTTTTCATTCCATTTCACCTTTTTGGACATTTAGTTTAGACTAAATGTACCCCTTTTATGAATTAGAATTATATGGAACAACCATCCATTATCTCTCAAATAAAACTTTTATGGGATAAACTTTTATTCCTTGTGATCTATTCCAGAATATTTCTATTCCAATTAGCAAGGACGTTTCATCCACATCCTTTATTTCATAACTTTTTAGAGAGATAATACTTTACTTCGTGCAACATGTCCACATTATTAGCAACTATAAATATATCATCGACATACGGAACTTAAATAACAAATCTACTCCCACTAACCTTAATATAGATACACCGGTCGGTATTCTCTATAAAACCATAAGCAGTGATGATATCATTAAACTTAAGATACCATTGACGAGAGACTTGTTTTAGTCAATATATCGATCTATTCAACTTACACACTAACATTTCATTCTTGTGATCTCAAAAACTTTTAATTAGTTCATGTAGATCTCCTTTTAAGTTTATCATTTAGAAGGTGATCTTTATGTCCATTTGATAAAGCTCAACATCATACAGAGCCACTATCACCATTACAATTCTCAAGGAATCATTCTTAAAAACGAGAGAGAATGTTTCCTTGTAGTCAATGCCTTCCTTTTAGATGTAACATTGAAGTCTAGATTTATACCTTTCGATATTACCTTTAGAGTCATGTTTGGTTTTCTAGAAAACCCATTTACACGCGACTCTTTTAGACCCTTCAGGTAATTCTACTAAATCCCAGTTGACTTTATTGTCATCCATTGACTGTAATTATTCTTCATGGCATTGGCAAACTTTTCTAGAATTTTTACTTTTAATGACTTGAGATTCATCAACCAAAGGTTGTTCTATAATTATGATTGCTTGTGATGATTCATTATCAAGTAAGTTTGGATCATTGTGTTATTCATCTAAGTTATATGACATTAATGTAACTAGAAGAATAACAACCATTAATGGACTCTCAGGTTTGGACTGTTCAACCCGAGTTTCTTTGACATCCAAACTTTGCGGTTCCAAACTCCCACTGATTTGATAATTTTCAATGAATCGAGCATTTTCGCAATCAACTATTCTCGTACTATGGTTAGGGCCATAAAACTTATATCCTTTAGAACCTTCCGGATAGCCAATGAATAACAACTGGTTGTCTTAGGATTAAGTTTTTTTTCATGTGGATTATGTATTTTTACTTCTGCTTGACACCTCCAAATATGAAGATGCTTCAAACTAGGCTTCCTACCCTTCCATAGTTCATAAGGTATTTTAGGAACTACTTTAATAGAAACCCAATTTACCCAATATGCAACAATCTTTAACACATGCATCCACATAGAAAATGTTAATGTTGAATTACTGAACATACTCCTAACCACATCCTATTAAGTACGGTTTATCTTCTCAGCAACACCATTATGTTGAGAAGTCTCAATTATAGTGTATTGCACACAAATATTTCAAATCTCAAGAATCTTTACAAATGGACTAGGATATTATCCCCTTTCATTGAACTTACAATAATATTCACCAATCTAGTGAGATCTCACAACTTTTATTTATTTATCTAACTACCTTTTCATCTCATCAATGTATATCTTTGGATAGTCCAATGATTGAGTCGTTTCATGTAGTAGATAAATATAACCATAACGTGAGAAATCATTTGTAATGGTGATTAAATACTTTACAAAACCCCATAAAGGGACGTCTAATAGACCACAAGAAAATTAGTAAAAATAAGTTTTAGTGCTTCTCTTGGCAAATCTCTTTAATGTATGTCTAGTTTGCGTTTCTTTAATTCATCCTACACTTTTGATCACTAAATCCAAATGATAAATGGTTTCATTATTCACCATTCTCAAACCTTTCTTCGGATATGTGACCATAATCTTTAATGCCATAAGTATAGTATTCATTATGTGCACTACGTTTAACCTAAAATTAAATATGAGATACATAAGTAGTTGCACATAACCAAGCCACCAAATATCATTTGGAATCTTTAATAAATATGATTCACAACATACAAAACTTAATGCATATCTTTTTTTTTCGAATCAATATTTTATTTTGGGCAATCTTTTATGAGGTGGCCTAACTTTTTATAGGAGTAACACCTCATTTCTTTAATGATTGGACCTGCAAAAACTATAAGTAAGTCAATCTTCTTTTATTTGCCTTTGTTTCCCATTTCATCTTACTATTATTGGCTCTTACATGAGATGTAAAGTGTATCGACTCTTGTTTCATCTCTTTTATTCTCACCTCTTCCTGCACCAGCATAGCCTTAATTTACTTATAGTCCCATTTTATCTTTAATGGTGTTATAGTTCACCTAGGATTGGCCAAACTCGACAGGTAGGGAGTTCATGATGAATAAAACCATAAATGAGTCTATCACATTCATTCTCATGTTTGCAAGTTTAGCTTATATGTTGAACATGTTAGACAAGATACCATGAATGGAACGGAATTAGTTGAACTTTTATAGTGATGAGTTCGATCATGAAACTTTCCACAATAGACTTTTTTCCGTAACTTTAAATGAAGATAGTTCCTTGATTTTTTTATTTAGGAATTCTATTGAATTATCAGCCTTAATGTTATCCGTCACGATTAATTTCATAAAATTCAAACACAACCTATTTGATTGCTCACATACCCTACGAAGAGTTACCTCTACTTCGGAGCTCTCACCAATAATGGTTGTGGGCACTTCATCAGTAATTAGAGTATATTCAAATTCAGTGCACCTAATTGAAAATGTATATGCTCAAACCATTAATTGAAGTTCAGCCCATTGAATTTTTTTCAATAATAATACTTGACGGAAAAATTAAATTTAAACACTGCAAACTTTGATACATGCTAATTAAGCTTTGAGAGAAAATTAATGGATTCAGAAATCTTTTAAATTATATATTTAAATATACTTTTGGGCAAATACTTAAATATATAATATATTTGATTGATGCCTAAGAGAAAAGATCTTTAATAGAAATTATAGGTATTGTGATTAATTAGCGGTTATCTTTGGACAAACACACTAATTAACCTAACTTTAATTATAATTTCTCTTTTATATATCCAACCTTATTAGAAATTATACAAATTTGAGTCAACTAGCGGCTATCTTTGGACAAACACGCTAATTAACATCGCTTTAATTATAACTTCTCTTTTAGATATTAATCTTTAATAGAAATTATATAATTAATGATCAATTAGTGGTTATCTTTGGACAAACACACTAATTGACCTAACTTTAATTATAATTTCTCTTCTAATTGTCATAACTATAAACATATGGCCCACATTTCTCTTCTAATGGATTTGTCTTTCCCTATGAATTGTTTCTCTCTCCCTCGTCTCTCGTCTTTCCATAAAGCCCTTGATGTTGAGAACTTTATTTCGTATGAGATGGGAGAGAGGGGCATGTAGTAATGTATATAAGAGGAGACCTACAATCCTATTCCTACTAACATTCCCCATGTTCTAACCCAACTTACTGTCCAAGTCAAACATCACACATTTGACTCTTTAATATTAGAACATTAAATAATCTATTAAATACATATTTTAAATACATATTCATCTTTAATAAAGTTTGACTATTAATTCAATTAGGTCTAACTAATTATATGATCCACAATAATTGAATAATATATAAAATATTATTACATAGTCTACTTGCAAGTTTTGTTATTACACCTCACGTTACATTACAGCCCAGGACAAACAAAAGAAAGAA